TGACCTGTTTCATTTCTTTTTATGGGGGCAAAGGCTAAGTTAAGAGCGCTAACTTCAAGCGACGAGTATTTAGCGTCCAGTATTGCAAGTTAAACAATCGATGCCACTGAACCACTGAACTGGTCGAAGAACTATAGGGTGTTCTTCGTAGACTTTTCGACTAAACTCATTATTATTAAAGATAATATGATATAGTAGAAAAACGTGTTTGTATATCTTTGTGTACGATGGAGATTTTTCCAGGGAGTTATTCTACTAGTGCCGGTATCTGCGTATGAATTTGTAGAAAACTATATGTATAATTTGGTTGGATTTTTAATTATGTAAAATTAAATTTTCTGAAATACAATTTGCCATTTTATTGAATACGAGATGCTCTACGGACACCTGAAACGCGTCTATCACAGTGATTTCTATATCCTAGTGAAGCCTGCCTTACTGTTCCCTGCTAATTCATTTTCTGAACAATCGGCAATTTTTCAGATATTTCGAATGAAAGAAAAGATTCAGATTAGCAGATCGGAATCAAATATAAAGTCAATATTTTCTGTTAACTTTTCGCACAATTCATTTTCATTCGAAATTCGTAGAGAAACGTAAAGAAGCACAAAAGTAAATGTTTACATCTCAGAAGCTTCAAATGCCCAATTTTCAAGAGTACGTAGCTCTTTAACTGCTTTAAACTGGGACTTGTTCCTTTTTAGAAGAATTCTACGACCACGTACTATCGACATCAAGGCACTATCAGGTTGCTCAAAATGCTTGTTACATGATTCTTCTGTAGGTGATATATATAGGACGTAACAAAAGTCGATTTACGTGGGCGAAAACCCAAGTATAGACGTAACAACTGTGTGCGCGTTTGAGAGATGTAGCAAAAGAGGTTGTCGATCCCGTGTACGTCGGTCTAATTGGATAGAGCTACGGCTGCTATAAACAGTTTTCTGCCTAAACAGAAGTTAAATTTGGGCTGACGTACCTACAGATTCATTATGGCTACGGTTGGACTTTAAATAATGTCCTTATAAGTAAACTGCTATAAATCTCCTCAGACAGGGTGTCTTTTGCACGGTTCAAGTGCAACCTGCTTTCGTCCCACAAACTAAAGAAGGTATGACAATATATAAATTTGTATGTCACTTAACAATAATTGAATTTAAAAAATGTTATTACGTTCAAATGATATACGACCATATAGCATTAAAGATCTGCTGTATGATATCAATCGACTATCTGGTTTTTGTACATGGGAAAATGGGCCAAAACACTGAATGTTTAAGCATATTCGCGCATGTAACTCGTGCAAATGCACTTATATATACGACTGCAGATTACAAAGGTCCTCACCCCATAACACTAACAATTTCGGGTCGATACGAACATCAAAACAATGATCAAGGTTCGCCTAAGCCAACTATTAAATCCTCGTGTCATTTGCAATAAAAACCAAATCATAAATAAACAATGGGAGCCTGCCGTAAATTTGTCGCTTAGCTGTTCGCCAACTGGAGAAGGCAGGCAATCGTCAGGTGCCGTCGGTGTTCTCCGTTGACCTTTTTAGACTCAGGCTCCGTTCGACACATATGGTACTTTTCGCATACAGACTCATTGTCCATTGCTTAAATAAGATAAAGGATACATTAATATAACATTATCTATAAGAATACTTTAACCTACAGAAATTAGTTATCACTACTAGACGTTATGGGTAGAGTCCTATACCCCGCATAGCGTGCTGATAGATTTCGATCGTGAGACTTTGGGCGCCCGTTACATCTACTAGCTGAATCTTGCCTATTACCGATACCGCCCTGTCCATTTCAAACTTCCTACCGCTGTCCCGGCATTTGATTTGTCAGACAAGCAGGCTACGTGTTTTCCACGTTCTATTTTGGAGGCTGTACCGTGTACAGCATTAGCTGGTTCTCACAGAGCTATCGCTGAAAAACAACGACATGTGTTTTGCCTTTCGAAGCGGGGTAAGGCCGTAATGTCTAACCTTCGGCTTATATAAGGCCCGCCACTAACGAAACAGATTTTATTCGCAGTCGTCTTGAAATGCGCAATCCTGCTGTAGATTTGGATCAAAATCAGCCAATGTGGTGGCGGTCCAAACCTTTGCCGCAGAGCAGGTTACCAGTAAATTACGGACCCATTAGGGGTTCTGGAGGGGCTGCCGTGGCTGAAACTGATGCGAACGGTTTCACATTTATGAGGGTTATGGCTATCGGCTCGGTAGCTTTAATTGCCGTGGCTTCTTCTATAGGCATGTGGTTATCTGACTGCCAGTGTAAAAAGGCGCATAATCATGCTGGGTACGAAAAAGGTCCAATTCGTTTTGTGAAGTGTCAACACGACATCTGTCCCGCATGGATGTGATGGCTGATTAAGAAAGAACATACGTGAAGCCCCGGAGGACAAGCCGTGATTAGCCACGTCAGCTTATTGCCTATGGCAATGAAACAAAAATTAAGCACACTATGTAATGCAAAGTCATATAGTGTGACGCGCTGTAGTCGTAAGCCCTCCTCAGTTCCAGAAAAATCAACAAACTAATAATACATAAGCGTTGCCCTCAAGTGTCATAGGTCCGGCTTCTTGTGTTACCGCTATCACGAAACTAGCACTTTATCTGCCGCGTAGCAAAATGAGTAAATATAAGTAATAATTTATTCATAGCTAACCATTTAATGATAAGTTCTATCAGCTATCAGCTTCAATATCACAAATCATGATCACGAATTATAATATATCCTAGCGTGCTTCAGTTGAGAGCCTTAGAAGAAGCGGCCCTGAAATATCTGTCTCCTACGAAGTTGTAATATCCTCATGTCAACTAACGTACATTTATCAAGCAATGGTTTGAAGCTAAGCTTTAAATCTGATCTTGAACCTACTGAATGTTAAACTTTTCAAAAATCCATTAGCAGAAGTTTCACCGTTTTCTTTTACTTTCGTTTGCTGTTGTCTGTGGTTCGAAAATAGAAAAATCTAAATCTGTGCTACAAATTCCGCTTACGATAGTTTTGAATTAGCCAGTGACGTCGATAGTATTATACATTTTTCTTTGATACAGCTGACTGTATGAGTCTTATCGAAATGGATAGTTTTTCTTTGTGAAATCGGAGACTATACATGTTCCCTGGGCTATTCATAGCCGATGAATACGAAATTGCCCCCTTGGGATAGGAAAGTTACACAGCTAAAAACGTTGTATCGCATAGGCGATATATCAGGCCATCGTAACTAACTTTAATGTCTTGGATAGTCTCAAACGATGTGCTGGTTGAATGCGCCTTGGGTCATGGCCTTGAGGATTTTCGTAAATCATAAATTAAATCATCGTAAATTACATAGTCAAGAAACCTTCAAGTATCTGTATTGGAACTATGGGCGCTAACCAGATTCCGTAGCTCGCCAACTAAGCCCTATGCCGACCATGAAATGCAGCTCTAGTATAGAGCCAAGTTCCAAGCTTCGTATTATATAATGTTACCGCCATAAATCACCGCCAAGAGGCATCGAACTATCGTTAACATTTTTTATTGCTTTCTCTGTGAAGGCCTCTGCCATTTCATTATGTTCCTCCAAAGCAGCAAATTTTCGTTGGTTTTTTCCAGGGGCTTTTGGTGCAGCTTCCTCACGCGTCATTTGCTTTCTATATTACCACTTGGCAACGTTGGTTGACCCGTGGAGCATATCTCCAGCACTTGCTTCATCTCGACACGAAAAAAACCGTCTATGCTTGCAGAGCGATAGGTCACAAACTAATAGTCGAAATGTTGTAGCTATTTTTTTCCTTTTTCTCAGAGGCCGACCCGCAAAGCGTTAGATTTGCAATCTTTACCGCTAGTCAATTACACTCAAATTTGATTTTTAATAGGAGAAGCCAGTGCTAGTTGACCTAGCAGGAAATATAACCTAATAGTAGTATCTCTAGATATTTTTCAATAATATAACCGTATCCAGCCAGTCGTATTGTGTCAACGACCATGATAGATAAACAGATTACGGTCTTGATGTTGATGGCCAAATATGGGCAAAAATTTATTCTCTCATTTACTAAAATCTCCCTTCTTTCACAACGTTCATTAGTGTATTTTTAACGTCAGCAGTTAGTTCAGAAAGTTTAATTTTTCCTGCTTATGACATATTTACAGGTTGTCAGTTCTCGACACGTTTGACGTCCTGGAAAAATGAAAACTCTGGATGCCTTTTCTCATTCAGCTAATGATGTGACAGAAATTAATAGACCGACATAACCCAAGAGAACACAGAGAGGATTGAAATGGAGCCCCCTTCATGTTTCAGGTGCAGACCAAAGGCAGCCTGAAACAGGCCTTTGTGGTGTAGGAGTGTTAACAACACTGGATGCCCAAAAATATCGCCGCATAATGTTATGAACTTATTGCGTAGTGCAAGTCCGTTGAACGTGCTGTATACAACTTCACACGAAATACTGTTGTGTGCCAGATTTTTGAGGTTTTTCTCATAGAGTAGGGCAATTATTCCGCGTCTTTTACGTGAAATCAAAAAAACATTCCTAAAAATAGGCGCCATTAACGCAGGTAACGTAGCCAAGATTCTGAGCTTCGATACTTAACAATAATATCTCCGATTTGTGGAAGGATTATAAACAAAATAACGATATAGCTATGCCGAAGTGTGCTATGTTTAGAACGAAAGCTAGTTGCTCAGTTTATTCATGAAGCAGCTAGCTGCTTACCGGATTTTTAGAATATGAGAACCTTAACTTTGGAAAGATATGATTCTAAAATTACATATCAGTAACCCTATTTTTTGAGCATTTATAATGCAATATCTCAGAATGTACTTAAAGTTATAAGTGGCGTTGGGCGTATCAGAGCAAAGTATTAAACATCCCGAAGGAATTCAATAAGGATTTTTAAAGAAAGTAGTCAACAAGTACAATATTCTTTGTGCCTTATTTATGATCTCCAGAGGTGTAAACACAAAACCGGTAGCCGAAAAGGCTTACAGATAATTAGAAAAATTATCGATCACCGTATTTTGCAGTCGAATTGTTTATGAAGCAGTCTGTCAGACTATTCAATTTTTAGACACTAGATCGCATGAAAACTACCGCGGCTAACGTCAGTAGCAATGCACCGAGGCAGCTCGCCTTGCTTATGATTGTAGGGGTGCTAGATCATCTTCATGAGATACATTGTTGTTGTTGAAATTTCGGTTGCCAAATACAGGTCCAGCTCCCTCCTTTCGCTGAACACAAGCTTTACCCACAGGCTAAAAGCGGTGATGTGTTCCATGCCTCTGGCAACTGTTTCTCCTGCAGTGGAGTCAACAAAACGTAATACTGTAAAAATATATCATAATAACAAATAGTATACGTACGTCAAACGATACTCATGGTCGTATTTGTGAAGTATGTGTTCGGTCTGTTCCACTCGAATCGACATAGAATGCAGTCAATATTATTCAGTCCTCATGTAACGCAATTTAGTATATCCCATGAAGAAGTTCCTATTAGGGCTCGTAGTTCATTAAGGGCTTACGGCCTTTATTCTTCTGTTTGTTGAATACATAGTATAGCGGTTCTAAGTACCTCCACTTCAACAATGACTCAGGCTGCTGGCTCTTGTTGTTTGGTTTACGCTCACTTCTTTTCCGCTTCCGTTCCTTAATCTGTGCGATTGATACGCGTCACACATCTCTTGAAACATATCATTGTATTCAACGACTACTGCTCAACGGCTAGACAGCGTTTCTACCTTGCGTGTTCGCATGAGGACACAGCGGACTAGTTTTTGCGAAAATAGGACAGCTTGCCTATAATAACCTAAATCAAAATAATAAAAGCACGATATGTACAAGCATGAGCTGCGTTACGAGCTCATGCACCATCTCTTAATGATCGTTGCAATGAACGATTAGCAAAATATTCAAATGGAATATCCAAATGGAATTTAACACTTACGTATATCTAATTAAAAGAGCGATTACTTTCCAGAATTTTCCCAACAGCCTGTATATCTGTTATACAAAATTTTTTTTTTCTGTCCACGCTACTTATCGAATCCGTAACTCGTTACAGCTAGCAATAGTCCAGTTTAACAATTAAGATAGTGATAGCGTGGTCTTGGTTGAAAACCGCTCGTAGAAAATATAGTTCACTTCGTACTATGAAATGCAATCCGTTTTACTTAGCGGCAGTATAAGACGTAATATTTCATACAGTTATTTATCGCTCTAAATACCGTTTCTTTGTACATCTACTGCCAAGAGTGTCTCCCCTAACATCTAAAGCAAGTGGACGCCACTGCTTGTTTAAGTATTTCTTTTATATATATACATATTTTCCCAAGTTACCAGTCAAACTGAATCTCGCGCAGAAATGGTACTTGTCACATTGTTCAGACGGTGTTTTTCGGCTGCGATTTACCTTAGTGGGTTACTAAAAGTAGTGATATGGCGCCTTAGGGGCGTCGGCAGCCGCCGAGAAGTAGTGGGCGTTAGGACCGTATGCACAAGTGGGGTAATATGAAACAAGATCTTGGTAAGAGCCATAAGAGCGATAGGAAGCTGGATTCGAAGTACCAGGAAACCTTGATGCACTAGTCTTGCCGCCATTAACAACACCGCCCCCGCAACTGTAAGGACGAGGGGGCTGACTGAATTTAAACAAACCACCGAGAAGCATTACTGCTCCGTACATTGCTATGCCAGTTAATGTTAGCTCGAGCAGGCGGGTGACAGCGTATCCTCTAAACTGCTGGGCTTCCATCGCAGCGTACGCGGTTGGAAACGTTTGCCTACATTTAGAGCGAAGAATCTGCAGCCATTGCGCGATATACTTCATAAATATAGTATCTGCCTCCTGTGGCTGGACGATCTGGCCCCATGGATCCGCCTCCTGCAGTTCGGGGATATACGCCGTCAGCTCTTCTCGTAAACTCTTCTGCCGGGCAGACATATTGGTCCGCGGTGAATTTGGAGAATTGCCTAAATGGTGTACTTTAAATTTTACCGTTTCGTTTTCTTACCGTTTCGATTTTCATTGGCTACCAGCAATGTCGACAATGGAATATAACACTTGAATCATCTATACAAATGGTGACGAAAAAAAGCGTGCCGTAACACTCTTGACCAATAGAGAAAACAATTAGTCGTTATCGTCGATAGCTGGTAGATCAGTAGATTGTCCAGGCTTCATATCTACAGCAACGTAATGTGTGCACTATAAACCAGCCATCACCAGCCCAACAATCAAGTTCGGTATTTTTATATCACGTAAACTCTAGCTTGACTCCTTAGTCTGTGCTATCTTTCAGGACCACTTAAGGCTAATATAGCTACCGTACCTTTTCGGTAGGTCATTCTTTATTGAGGCATTTCGTCTGGTCAAACCGAACAAGCAGGAGCGGATTGTTTCAACAAAGCCCTTTGTACTCCTGTTAATGTGTTAGTGCAAATATTAATTAACGGAAATCTGAATCGGAACGTTGAGGTTGCCTCTACTATTTACCGCTCACACACATAAAACACTCGGATATTCTCTGACTATATTTCCTAAAAGAATATTACATAAAAATGGTACTCAGTACCTATAGTTCTAGTTTGTTCCAAACGTGTCTTTAATGTTACCCTGATTTTAGTTTCACGCTCATCGTTTGTCCTATTCGTTGGCGTCGATTCGATTAGCCGAAGTATTTACTGCCATTTTGTGTCTGCTGAAGTGAGGCCTGCGAAGCTCCGAGCTTCATTTAGATCTTGCCGTTCGTTCAGCTCAAGCGCTACGTGCCGGACCCTTTGGAGGACTTAGAGAAGTGAACAGAGTACATAGCTGATCTTTACATAGATACACAGAATATCGACTAGAATTACAAAATTAAATCCATGAGAAAATGTACTACGGTAGTACGTGGCAATGATCCTTATTACCCACTTTCCGTCAGTGGGTTATGGGATGTTCATCGACCCTCAATGATTTATCATAGCAATCGTTCAGGGCTGGATTTGTGGTCAGCGCTGTCCCCAAAACAACATCATAGCAGTCCATAGTGGGCTCAATCGTTGACTGCGGAGACCAGGAACGTCTACGTATTTCTACGACTATGATTAGCTAAGAAGTGAGCTTAATTCAAAATATTGTATCATACAATACGATGCAATGGCCTGGTGCAGGAGTCAGGCAGGAGTTTCGCTAGAGTCATTCTGCTGCGTGTTCGAAGTGTTGCACACTTAGAGCTGTCTCGTACCGACTTTGCATAACTTTTCCACGTTGAACTTTTTAGTGTATGAGTTTCCACGCGCTGCCCAGACACTGACGTGTCCGATTGCTTGGCACGTCCGACACGCAACTGCGATGATATTCTTGTGATTTGATCGATTCATTAGCGTACGTTCCAAATAGCCAGCATTGACAGACCATCGTATTGAAACTATGCATGGTGAATGTGTCTAAATAACAGCGTACTTGATTCTTTCGTACTGTTCCATATCACAACTTATCGAAATTACATTATATGATAGAAACACCAAATGCTGTTCAACAAAATGATTTATAAGGATTTTGTTGAAAATAGCACTGCGCAATAGTAACGGCGTTACGGCAAACATGAAACGGTCACTATCTCTGCTATAAAGCGCGCTTATGGATTCGTATTCCAACACATATATAGAAACGAGTTTTTAACTTACGAACATTTATTAAGAGACGGTCGCTCTGAGCTGGATCTGTTTTTTGACGCCAACATCCGTGTAACAAAGGCAGATATTCGTCGACGGCCGCGGGACTGATGCTTTGATAAGTCAGATGGTAAAAGGTAGAACAAAAATGTTCTATATATAAACTTTTACTGTGTGCTAGCCCGTGAATCCTGCTAAAACCTTCGGAAAGTTCAACGGGGGGCCTATAGGCAATTCCCACAATTTGACAGAGTCCGTACCACTGAAAACATAGCCAAATTTTAATTGTTCGTTAATGAATCATGGAATTAGAACGAAGGTTTATAATGAGGTCTTAGTTAATAATCCTATCAGGTCTGCTATCAAATTATCGTAACCGAATGATTCATATTCTCCTAATGTCTTCATTTTGGCTTGTAGCGTCTGCACGAACAACGCGAATGTAACACAGTTACCGTTAGTGGGGAATCAGTTGGCAGACACGCAGTCGATAGTATCTGCCACAAAGAATACATTAGGAGCATTAGTGAAACTGGTAAATATCCAAAAATCATAACCCGTTAAAGTTAGCTCCATTGCGTGTATAAAAGCGATACTATTTTTTAATAACATAATAATTTATTCCTTTCAAAATTATAAGGTAATAGTATTTGGTAAAAAAATTTACATAACCTAAATAAAGAAAAAAACACAGTTTATATTGAAAAAAAAATTAGTCACACATACCTAACTATATTATTCTACTAAATATCTGCCCTTCTACAATAGTTTTATACTGATTAGAAAACAAGAGCGACTTTCGAATTGTAATCAACCACCATAGTTTTTACCAGAATGCCAATAATAAGAGTCTAGACACACCTCGTTATGTACTGATGTCTAGAGAATTCCGGTAAATGTCAAGAGAACTTGAAAAAAACTTTCTCGTGTCTTGTATACAGACGCAGCTAAACAACGCACGTTCTAATAGAAACTGCGGATAATTTGAGACTCAGGCATTCGAAATATGAGTACGAAATCAGTAGTGGAAAGGGCACTAACTCAGTGTAGGAACTAAATCAGCTGAAGGAGGATACTTCATGAGTATACTTAGAGGTATGTTTTTTTTGCAAGATTAAGATAGGGGTATTCTGGGATCCACAATTCTCGATAGCAGATTACAAGTTCGAAAAAAGGAAAGTACCATTTCATACGAAGCTAGACTAAAATTTGAACGTTCTGCTGATCCGGTCTATAGATATATAGAACGAAAAATGAGAAGCATTATTTCGAATTCGAATGGACTGATAGTGAAGCGCAAGATAAAGGTAGATGTTAACTTTAATCAAATAAATTAGAAGATCAAGTCTATTGAGGACTGGCCCTCACCCATTTTAATAAACCACTCCTATATACTGAAAGAACTTTCGTTTCGAACAAACAACTTTCAGCTACTCGCATACATTAACGATATCCCCTATAAAAACCCTATTTATATTGAAACAAAACCTTTTTAAAAGGCTGCTAATGACCTACTGCACGGCAGCGTCTCTGGAAGTCAAGATCTTCTTCTAACATCTACATTTTTTTGCCAGTTCCTTCCCTTTTTTAACTATACAAATCATTTAGATCGTAGACAATTATTAGGCTGTAAGTGTTAACAAAAAATCGGATTTAACCTGAATCTAATGGCTTTAAAAACTGAACTGGTACCTTCTGGCACGGCGTTGGGTTATCAGATATTAGCATCAGAAATACGTCGTGTATAAAAACCTTCGGTTTTGACAGCAGCGATAAATGTATATTGATGAACTACTAATATGATTCGAAACACTCAGGTTATTTTTGATGTCATAAGAGTGTATGCTTTACTGAGTCCATGTTGTAACTCCAATCCGCCTATGAGCGAACTTGCAAGTAAATATATTATTTAGAAAAGCCGACAGCGGTAATTTTCAGGGAAATTCGACCACAGAAGAAATCTAAATATCTGACCGAGATTATATTTTAGATACTTAAATACCTTACAGCGTCCGTGTACACAGACAATTAAATCCAACCTATTATATAGTTTATGAGTGTTCATCCTAACGTTACTGGAGCTGAGCTGTTATCTTACGCGCTATGTGCTTGCGGGCTTTTAGATGACAATATATAGATGATAACGGATTCAACAAACTGATACAAACATTTTTTATTTAAAAAATAATTTTTATTTCGAAGTGCCCATGCCTAGGCTGTTTTCATTCTGCAACTGCGGTTCTGCAGGCGGTGACTATTACCATCCTTCTTGCTCTGCCTGTGTTCAAAAGTTAACTTAGTTGCCCAAGGAAAACAAACTGTTTTAGATATCAATCCTAAAACACGCAGTGCACATCACAGGTCGTACTAGCCTTGATCTCTCGTGAACGCTTAGCTAGTGAGGTATCTAACCTGGACCCCGGCGACAAGTTTCCGTTACTGTTTCAAAAAGTATTTGTTCTGTTTAATTGTAGAATCCTTATAGAGGTTTTGTTATGGTGTTCTTGTTATGGTTTGCAAGAATCTGCTTTTGCCTCTTCAGCATCCGCGTGCTTAGTCGCAATGCAGTAAACAACTGATTTCGGGTAAGTTTTTAACTTCGGCGGGGATTAGTCGAGAACGAAGACACTGAACAGGATTTGAAGACGATTTTTCTGCATTCTTCATGATGAGCGTATGGTTTTGTGTTAGATACGTAAAATTTACAGCATTAAGACAGCGAATTAACGAGAAATTGCCACCCAAAGTACGTTCTTACATATCGTCGCCCTCCTGCACTGTTCCTGTCTTAGAATATTGTTTTTGAAACAAAATATGAGATGGCAAGGGCAATTCTTTGCCTCGATTTTCTTTACTTTCGGTAGTACACTTTTACTGTGAAATTCAGAACGCTTATTATCAAAAAAGCTTTTCGAGCGTAACTACGTGTGAACGGCCGATCAATGCACAAACACGCTAATTCTTAAAAAACCAAATACGTCTACTTACCTTAAGCGCGACATCAGCGAAAGATAAGCAAACGCTTATTGTAGTATCAATAAAAAAATTACCGTATCAGTAACGATGTGATTTCGTCCTCCATATAAGCACCTCTGACAGGACTCCGCGTCTCTCCGCCCATATCCCGTCTCTGTTAGCGTCCCGACCCTGACAGGTGAACCCTGCGCCATACGACATAGTGCCAAGTAGAAACTCGTGTACTGCAGCGCGTACGCACTTACCACGCTTATACAGTTTGCTCTGAATATAAATATTATAAGCCTGCAGACAGGCGACGACGGCTTTCCGATAATATGATTAGTTATTCCGAACACAAAATGCTTGCGAACGTCAGACGAGCTACTCTCTAGAAAGATGGACATTATCAAAATGAAGATCAAACCGATGACGCCAAAAGATATCTTATTGACAAGGTGAAACAGTTAAGGGGTGCATGCCGTTCAAATATATTTCGCCTAGGAATTTACCAGGCGGTATGTGAAAATGAATTTGGTGTAAAATAGGGTGCGTTTTATATAGTATGGATTATACTTTACCTATATTATTTTTGTGGCGGAAGTTTCCTAATAGAAAGTTTAAAACAGCTGCTTTTTCTTAAATAAACAAGCAGAGCGTAAATACAGAAAAGGAAAACGTTTAAGTTGCGGAACATCGTCTTCACTAATATACCATTCGTAACTTATCCATTCGCAAACAAAGTTCCACATATTCTAATATCTGATTGAGTCGCCAGTTATTATTTGCACAATCCATGCTAGGCTTCTCTGAATATAGGGTGAATAGAAGTTTCATTGAGGGTCTTGAGTAGCTCCGATGCTAATGTACTCAAGCTTCAACCAATTGAGTAAGAGGATACGATGGCATCGAAGTGCCTCTGAAGGCAATTGTATGAATGTATTCCTTGAATTTGCTTTGTTTTTATATCATATTTCGCACCGCTCTAATTAATCCTGCAAGTTTTCTCGCAAATGCAAAAAGTGCTGCTCCTCCAGGAAACCGTTAGTTATTTCCTTATTGTAACAGAAAAGGGCACTTCCCTGTTATTAGGACGATAATTATTTTCTTCAATGCGTTAACCGTCTGCTTTTTGGGCAAGTGCCAGTAGTTTTGCAACTGCCGGCTACGGTATTTTTCGTTTGCAGTGATGCTAGTTTTGGAACAATGTTAAACATTAGGAAAGGTGTATAAATATTCCGGAGGAAACGACTACATATAAACGTTTCTATATATATAAATGACATATACAAACGGTTTCTCATAAGAAGACGCATGCAAATGTCAACTTTATCCGAATGCTTTATATATATATACGTATACAAAAAACTGTTCACGAGACTGTGTACGGAAACGAACTAAAAACGCTTCGCGTTGACCTTATGCTTGACAAATGGCTCAGCGAATACTGGGATTTTTAGCCTTCAGAGATTTGCCGCCTTCAGTTAGCCCAGTACGATTGTTTGCACGCAATATAAAAGTGAAGTTAATGAAAAACACATTAAAATAATTACAACAACTTTTTTTTGCTGTTAGCTATATGAAAGTATACCGTAATTTGCTTTGTGCCATTAATGCAAGACGTTTTTTTTGACCTTAAATCGTTCTCATAGTGAACTTGATGAGGATTCAAATCGTATCTATTTATCGATATGTGGTAATGTTCGTCAGAATCTGCGTTTGGCATGTCTATTTGTTAGTCATCAAATCCCCCAAAGATCAAAGCCCCCCACTGTAAAGTTGGTGCAACAAAAATTGATTCCTTATCCTATTTGGGTTTGTGAAGCGCATAGTTTCACGTTAAGGGGGTAGCTACAATAAGTAGCGTAGTAAATAACGGCGGAACATATGAGGTGAGATATAAGAAGTGGATAAGTGCCTCCTTTATATCCAACATTGTTTCTGAGCTAGAGGCATGACAAACAAGCATCTCGTAGTCGGCAGCTGCTACAGGGAAGACTGCAGACGATTACACAATGAGCAGCTGGCTAAGAGCTTGACGAAAATAATTGCCAAGGTAATTTTGTGATAGTTTTGTTGTCGGTCAACTAAGCAAGCTGTGAGTGTCTAGAGGTGAAATAAAAGATAGAAATATAGAACAAACAAATAGAAAGCATGCGTTCATAGAACTGTTTTCGAAGGACGCTTACTTGGATGGTGTTTTTCTATTCGATTGCTTGTTGGCCAGCATTGAAAAAACGTAAGAACCTCAATCAGCCTTCTATTTGTGCTATATGGGAAAGACTGGCGTGCAGTCACTCAATCAAACGACGGGACGTCTATGTTTGTCGATGACGCGCTTCTTGGAAACTTGAATTTACTCTATTTTTTTTGTGACATACAGAATATAACTTGTTCACAAGTATCGCGCGGTTTGAAAACGGGCGGGAAAGTCTATTGACAAGTCGATTCCATCGGGCTGAATAAGTGTACTAATTTTATTCAAAGAAAGTGCATAAGTAAGCGTATATACAATAAAGAACACGAGCCTGAAGTGTACCTCTAATGTTTTTCATGGCACACGTTTTAGCTGTCAAAGCCAAAACATAGCTGTTAATAGAATGGAGGTATGGGGAGCGTTGTGGAGTCCCGTCAAAAGTGCTTATTCGGCGCGACAGGGCTTTCTTTCGTTTTTTGCTGAGGCGCACCAGTCGCGGTCGCTTACCTTTGTTGTCGTTATATCTGAAGTAGCTCGTTGTGTTAGCTTTTCTGAGGGTGTGCCGTCTGCCTCACGTAGGAAACTTTTGTGTGAAAAGAAACTAACGAACGTAAGGGAAATTGACGAGAAATAAATGCTGTTTATTGTGCAATCCTCTTGTAGCAGCTCCTCTACTGGAAGGAGGATGTTTTTATGTATTTAAAAAGAATCATATAGGGCGAAGGCGATATGTTTTCATTTGGAAACAGTTCACAAGAGGACCACAGTACGACTTTGCATAACAAATGGTAGGTGTAGCTATCGGTGGATGTCTTCTGTATCTGAGAAACAGAATTGTCTCAGATTATAAAAAATCTTTTTTTATAAACATACGGCAGATGAAGTGAACAATGACGTCAGCTCGTTGACATGGGACGGGTTTTCACCGGTGGTTATCCTCGAACATCTAGCTAAACGTGGCGCGTAGAACGTAGAACTTCATAGAATACTACGTTTATTGACTGAAACCGTGACCCACGCTGAAGTGGTGAGCTTGAACTGGAACTTCATGCAATTTATAAATTGAGAAACCACGATGAGACACGAGGTTTTTTTTGTTTCCTGTTTCAATACCGCCATGTCCTTACCTGTTTCAGTGTCATATGAGCGACCTTGTTAACCCATTTCTTTTATAGGACCCCGTATTCGCGGCTACTTTAACCTAGATCTCCTTAAAAAACTACATATGCATCTCATTAAAAAAAAAAAAGAAAGAAATATAAACAAATAATTTGAGGGGATACGAGGAAAACGTTTTGATCCAAGCGGTTGTTTCAGATGAATTTTTATCTCAAAGATGTCGCTAAAATACATTGATGATTTATTAAATATGTGAGTTATACGGTCTATACATTGTTGGGTCTCGGCGTGTCTCTTCTATAGGCCATACCAGATAGTATCTTGTTTAGCTGTATCCCATTACTGCTGTTGCATATAGCCATTTACTATATTTTGCCATTTACTAGCTGCTATAAAAGGGGCGTAACAGTATAATTCGGACGGCTTTTTGCGCAGTCCCGGAGTGTCTTACATGTTGTTAATGCCAAAAGGACATCGTTAATCCGAGTCTAATTATGTAAATATAGCAGTCACTAGGTTGTATGTACGCCGAAAAGGTTATGATCCCTTCTGGCGACGTTGTTTAAGGTTCATCGCCCTAATTTACCTCATCCGACTATTTCGACGCTCTGTGCACACAAATACAAATAAATGTAGCGTTCTTCACTGAAGAACTGTCTAAAAGGTAGATCTCAACTGTGACGTCCGTGTGCTCAACAAATATATGCAAATCATTGCAGACTATAATGAGTGTAAACTATACTGAGTACTTTTATTCACCGATCCAGTAGAGGCAATTTAACAAATGTGGCAGATAAATAGCTAGATGTTAAGAAAACTAGTTTTGTAATTCTAATTGTTTGTTGAAAGACAACAAGATCGTCCCTTTGGATTTGGCTTTTGTATAGGCTATTGGATTGAGCACTAAACCGTGCAGTCGTATTGATTTTAAGGGTTGTAAGATTCGACCTATTATATTCGCATTTTTATTTATCTTTTGATTCCGTGCCGGTAGTTGTTTTCATGCTATATCAATCCTAAGTAAAAGACGCTCCTCTTCACTCAATGCAGGCTTTGGAGAAACTGTTTTTCGCCGGTGTTATCTTTCTAAACGTACTCTAATCCTTGTAACTTTTATTATGTACTCACAGATTAGTGTCTGACTGCCTTCACTCTGAGGCATCCAGTTCGCTGTGGCATCGGTCCTATGTGGGCCCCACAACCCATCACATGTTAACCGTACGTCAGACTGTCTAGATCTTATTTGGAAGCGCATGGATAACGTATTTACGATACCATTATTTCCTATTGAGTAAGCCACACGGTAAACACTTGGTATTATGAACAGGTGAAACCAGATCAACAGTGAAAGGTAAATATTCCAACAGATTTTATTCGTCGTCCACATACAGACGGCTTACGTGGATCACACTCGAACAATGCAATATGTGAAAATACTGTTAATTTTGCAACAATAATTCCTACACACCATTATTGCTTATTGAAACTCACTGACACAACTGGATACAGCGATAGAAACAAATAGATCGCATGTATGATTACAGTAATATTGAAACACTTACCAATTTTCTATTACACATTTGGCAACTATCAGTGTCAACCCAAAGAAAGGCGTCCCGAATTCTGCCTCCGGTTTCCAACCTAGACCACCGTGTACCCTTTACCCTGGAAAAAAACAAGTTACAACTCTACCATTACACGTACATAAACTGAATGGCCTGGCATCTATGTTAGTAGCTAATTAAACGACAGTGGCCGACCTCTTTATTTTTTCAACACACTTCCTCTCCGCTGCTCCTTTCTGTTCCGCACCTTTTACCACTGTGCGAAATGCGGGTGTATAAAAGTCGTTAGAGGAATCGTCTACAGAGGCGTCATTCGGAAACCTATGATAAGCTAGCTGAGCATATCGGCACATGATTACTGCAGTTTGTTCTGAGTACATAAGTTTGTGTTTACGTTAGGCTCCATGCCCAATGGGCATCAGCATATGCCATGCCCAATTTAAAGCCATGCAGCTGACTTAGTACAGACAATCCACTTTTGAAATGTGTGCATTTTAAGAGAATGCTATGACCCATCTCTATTATCTTAATTTATATATATATATATATATATATATATATACACATATAAATTTCCGTCATAACTTAGCAACGTAGTAATGTGTAGCAATAACAGCATCGGTGAAGTTCATCGCTCATGTGACATCGTGGCTTGGAACATTTTTTGCGTTGTTTTATTTGTCTGAACTTTTCGAAATAGGTATTTCGACGTTCTGTGATTTGTAAAGGTAACAGAGTTAGGTATCATTGACTAAGGCTGAGTACATGTTCAAATTTCAATGGTGATTTAGTAGATAAACGTTTCATTTGCGGACCCATGAAATCTATAGTATGAAAGCTATTTATTCACTTGGCATGATATTATAGCTCTGTGATTTGGTTCTCTTGTCATGGATATCATATCTAGGTAATTACTCTGTTAGATTTTGCCAAAATAATGAAGTGTTTCGACCCAGCCCAATTTTTGGGTAAGTTAAAACAGACGATCCTCCAGTGTTTATTTCAGCAATAATTTGAAATTAAAAGATCAGTTCGCTGCTGCACTTCTTTCTACTCCCTATGGACTCATAATGCGCACGATGAAATATCGTGAATGAAATTTACGAAGTACCACGGGAAAAATACGTATTGCTATCTGGCAAACGTATCGGCTCTGGCAGCGCTTATTATTGCCCTATAGAGAGTTTAACAGAAGTCGATGAAAAAGGAAAGTAGATCATTAAAAGCTAACCTGAAATGCATTGGAGGAAAGGATCATTACTTCTAACTTTTTTTTTTAAGTATTCAGTTCATTTATGATTAGGGCTATCGCACAGAGTACTAGGGGAACTGTAGTGTTGCGTATATAATAATGCCAATGGCCAACAAAAATAAGAGGCGAGATGCAGCGCGCGCGCTTCGAGTAGTTAGTCAAAGGTGTCTCGCTAGCGTCGACCCTCATTCGTTTTGAAACATACCTCGAATTTTAAAAAGAATCATGGATGGTTTAGATGGACGAAGATACTTATGTTACTTCAAACTAGAAGAACATGCAAATCGGCTGACATTGACTTCTACACCCGAACCGCGATATATTATAGGTGAATAAAAATTAAAAAATACGATGAATACGGAAGACTAATCCGCGTAACTGGAACTGTGTCTGTAAATAGGTAAGTAAGTGAACCACTGCAATTGAAGGTAAATTGAAACGGCAATGGAGGCTCTCGGCGAGCGATGGCATCGTCGCCAACACGTCTGTTACGTGTCTTTCATGATGCAATTCTACGGCTCTTTTGAAGAGCGAGGCCTTTGTCCAGTGTAGCTGCTCGAGATTCCCTACAGTGAATGCCTTTCAGATTATGCTCACCTTGTATATGACCAGGGTGCAACCAAGAAGAGGTCGAAAAATCGGAGCGCGGTCTAAAAGAACAGTCCCTTGTGGCTAAGTATTGAAGATAAAGCTATCCAGGTCCTTTTGCATTTTTTCGCAATATGCTGGAAGAAAGTGGAGCCGTTATTCGAGGACAGCAACCACTAGGCGCTAATGAACGCGATTACTCCTGTAGATAACTAAGCTTCTGCCTAGAGAAGAACGTTTAGCATATTTTTGGGCCTACGTATCTTCTCGGTAAGAAAGGGAAAGGAACAGGACGCAGGAAAGAAGAGGGCTTAAGTTGTCATCCTGGACGACACCTGTAGTCTAGGTAAACGTTCCGAGAACTTACAATCGATCGTCGTCCCGTTCTCTGGGAGTGTCGCCGCCATTAGATTAGGCACATTCGCCGACAGCGCCTTTTCAAAAAAGAGCCTAAGACTAAATTCTTTGCTACAGAGTCGAAAACTGTATGGGAAACATTGAGAAGATATGCTGCTGGAAGTTATTTTGAAGTTTGCTTGAGGTTGGCAAGTGGGATATTACGTGCTGTATCGCTCAAATAATTTTTCTGCATCCGTGTTGTCCTTTAGGCATGCTTTTCACACTGCCCAAGAACGAGTTCACTCTTTTCGCCACTAGATACTAGAGAAGTTTATAGCAAAGGCTTTTCTTCGTGATCGCATGCCACAGCGTCAGCTGTCGCGAGTGGCTTTTGTGTTTGGGTATGGAGAAAAGCGTTGCATCGTACTATTACGGAAAAGACATTCTGGAATGAGGGCATTTGTCGTCCAGCGGTCACCAACAGCGCCAGTCCTAAGGCGAACTCAAGGTGTTTACTCTGCATTATGTTCAGTTCAGACCCTCTTTGAGCCTAGGACTTCGAGCGCCTTAGTCATTTTCATGACAGGGAATCCAGCAGCTCACGTACACTTGTTGTCTCTTCGTGCCAATCTACATTGAGACGTCGCTAGTTGACTAGGCGAAGTGGTCGATGAACGCTGATGAGCTGATGGGACACGACGTGCACCTGCAGGGAGCAAACCATTTGAATGGCAGCTCCTTTTATGAGGGTAATCGTTCACTGTTCCAGATAATTCTTGCGGTGGTTAGAACATATCTTCTGTCATAATACTTCAAGGGCTTTTTGCGTTGTAATGTTGCCAATAGCCTAAAGATATGCTGCGCACGGCGAGAAAGGTAGCCGTTATGATCAAACCAAGATCCGTGTCTATTGAAGCTGTCTGAGCAAATGCAAGATTGTGAAATGTCGACAAGATGACCTGCATAAACCTCAATATCAATCGAGTCTGGCACTGAAAGAATATCATGAATTTTTTTAGAGACTTTTTGGTGCTCCGTCCACCCGGTGAGGGTTTATTACGCGGGCCACTCATGGTCACAAGCAATATCGAAAAACCCAATTTTAAAGAGATATGTGTTTAGACCTCTCCTTCCTGTCAGAGAGAAAGCGATTCTTTCCAACGTGTATGATTTTATCGCTGCTCGCGTTTGTTGCAAAGATATCTATAACGGAGCTTACTTCGGGTCCGAGAAAAATGATACTGTGCTTAACTTTTTAGAAATCATGCTCTATCAGCATATATGGACGGGCTAACGCACGAGTTCGTGTGGACTGGTGAGGGCATATTGAAGTTTGCTTCCACGATGATGGAAGCTCCAAAAGAAAAGCCTACATGCCTTGTAGGCCTTCGCGCAGCTTCTCTACGAGAATCAGTGGTCACTCTTTGTCACTTGTTGCACGTGCGCTGCCACAAGCCCTAACCTTAGGCTAGACAAGGCAATGTCATTGTTTCCCTAAAATAAGGCCTTCGACTCTATGATCGCAAAATCCGCGGCTGGAACGGCCAGGATACACTCGCTGGCAGGGCATTGCCTGGGCAGGGCAATAGGTGAAATAAAATTCCGAAAAGTAGATTGGGCTAATTGTTCAGGTTTCTGTGAGCACAATAACGTCGACTGAATCCCACGTTTTCGGTGTGGGTAGCGCCGTACGTTAATGACCTTTCGCAAATCTACTGCATAGCCTTTAGCGTTTCCCATCACTTTGGCTTTAAACTCTGCACATTCGAGGCCGGTTACAGGATTTGAGTTCCTGTTTCTGGGCATCGTTTGTATTTTCCGCGTGATCAGGACTTTACTCAATTGTCAGTAATGGTGAAAGCCACCGTAATCTCATGATGGCTGACGACACGTCGTAGGGCAGATGCGAGTAATATGGAGTTATCTTCAAATATCTGGAGCGCCAATACGTTTTGGGCGCGTTTCTTACGAAGGTAACAGGCGGTCTCGGCTGTTACACTCAGCCGGACGGTCTATACTGACGCGTCTCCTCCGGGCGAGCCATCAGCGTTACAAATGTGTCCCTGCAGTTCGGCTCCACTCCTCTCCTGTAGGCCATTTTGATTATGTTGGTAGGTCAATTTAAAACCGCTAGTTCAAGTTCGGTACCACCAGATAGACACCATCCCAATTGAAATGCTAAATCATGTACTTGTAAAGGAAAAAACAATTGGTACATTTGTGGAATCTGGAGATGCAGTTTATTTTATGCCTTAGTGACCCCAGCCCACCGGTTTACTCCTCATATACTGACCTGAGAATCAATTTTTAATAGTAAGAGTACTATATCACATTGTTCATTGTTCTTGCAATAATTCAGCATGAAGTATGTTCATCATGATTTTATTTTCAACAACGGTTCCGGGTTTCTATTATTAGTTTTTTTTAAGTCAGGACCGTGTCAGATGAGATCATTATGAAGTGACTTTGTGTTTGTTACACAGATCTTGCTTTGAGTTGCTTGATCTTTGAAGGCGGAACTATTGTGACACTGAAATACCCTTTGCTCGTAGCAATATCAATAATTCTCATCCATAAAAAGAGAGTTAATTCATTTGGCGATGCCATATGCAATTTTTCCAACTTACCCAAATAACTATATAGGCCGCTCTCAACGACTTGCGCTCCGGAGGGGCACAAAGGCAAAAGCACACTTTTTCGGGCCGATGAAAGGAACAGATATAAAATGCAGCACGAATACCAAATGTAAGTTATGTAAAAAACAATTCAGTGGCTGAATTTCTCCTTCTCGAACTCCATGCACTGATATCGAGCCGTTTAAAATGTTGAAGTGTTTTGCTACTACATTACATTACGCTACTATATAAGCTATATTTATTTTCGTAACTAACGATAGGTACCTTATCGGACATGAGCTCTTTCAGGGGTTCGACAATACCATAAGCCGCAACTAGCGCTGTCTTTGTTGACGGGAACAATACATGGGTGTTTTCTGTTATACAAACTGCATATCAAATTCGTTGTTAGCTCGGCCTGTGTGACCGTTTCGTAAGCGGTTAGGCGTGCAGTATAGAGGACACTTATGCCTATGATAGGACAGGCTGAGACCCCGCAATCTTTTATCATACCGCGCGTAAGAATTTTTTTTTTGACTGTAAGGTCTCTGACGTGGAGACTTTTGCGCTGGTAGTTGCCCAGCTAGGGTTTGGCAGTGGGAATCACTGCTCTGTTTGTTCACCGCAGCTGCCTTCTATTTAATCCTGTTCGTGACGATCTTGTAAGGAAGTTCGGACTTATCGTTTTTAACCGCTTCTGCCTGTTCGAACCATTCACACTTTATGCTGTTTTTAATGAGGGCTTTCAGTCTCGTATGCTCTGTTTTTAATCTCCGTCTCTATCTGTATACCCTTGGACTTTCCTCTTTTCCTCCATAGTCTCCCTTTAGCCGTCAGATGATCGTACTCTGTGAAGTGTGCCTTAGCCGTATGTATATGAACCCGGCCACGGTAATATTTTCGCCTCATCGGTCGGCTGGTTGCTTTTCACTTAGATGAGAACTACTATCCGGATAGGTTTCCGTCTAATCCTATGCCGAGTAAAGTCACTTGAGTTTTGTGCCGACCGTCGGGACTGACCATGCTAACCTAAACGAGGACTTTTCTGCTATATCCGCCATAGATTCTGTGCTTTCTTTATTCTATTTATCAAGAAAAAGTACATCTATATCGCGTTAAGTTCCTCTGTTGCCCTCTAGTCATGTATTTTTGGTAATTACCAGTTCAATAAAAGACACTCTCTATATATCTTGGTGGTACGAACGAGTCATGTCATCATTGATTCCCGCTCAGACCTGTTCGGCATTCAATCTTATAAAGTGACTTTCCTTGCGAGGGTGTACCTGCTGCTCGCTGGTTCAGCACTGCATTAAAATTCCTAGTGATTAAAACCTGGTTGTGTTTGCATACGTCACTCTACGTCTAAAAGGAACCTTGTGGTTTCCTTTATAGGTCTGTTAAATGAAAAGCAGTGAATGTATTCTATTGCGATCGAGCCAATATTTATATAGGAACACCGTTTCCTTCGTTCAATTCCTCTTATTGAGATGCTTGACTTGGTCGTTCAACATATCGCTGTGTCTGTTCTACTAGCCACAAATTTAGAAGGAACTGCGTTCCGCTATAGCTTTTTTCGCGTTATCAAGGGAAACGTACCATGGGCGTGATTACATTTATAAAATTTCACTTGAAACGCTTTAACCATGTTTTGTTCCTTTTTTGCAGTGCAGGCTGAGCCCATCTTCGCCTATTATCGCTTTTGTGGCCTTTTCTCTTTCGTCCTTCCTACTTAGTCTTGAGATTTTTCGTTGCTGTTCTTATATAATCATCTTTACAGGCTGCTTACTTGGCTCTTTTTTGCTGCCTCTTTTACTGTATCTATTCCAATACCTCCTTATATCTGGGGCACGCCCTCTGTGACCTTCCATTTTGTAAGCATGGCAATATGGCTTCGTAATCTAATCACATGCCTTGAGTGTATATCCCATCGTTCCACATTTCCTCTGAAATGTGTCCAACCTTATGACAGATAAAATATGTCGAAATCTGGATCCATTCTTTTAGAGAATAGTAGAAAAGACATCTGGCTTGGCAATGCCAGATTTCCTTTCGGGAGAGCAGTCTGTTAGCCGGCAATCATAAGAAAACTGCTATACTTGACCACCATTAGTTTCTGTTCATCGAAAATCCTGGGTCTTTCGACCTGAAGCCCAACAACTATCTCCTAGTTGGATAAACCACCACCGCCAGTGCGAGCAGGAATATGATCTGTGGGGGACATTCAAATATCATTTTGGATGTCTTGCTAGTGAAATGAAGAGGCGTCTGAATTGTAAGTTAGAAGTTAATTTAGAATTAGTTTTATCTGCAAAGTTTTCGAAGTTACCAGGGCATCATGACTTACGTTTTCGCTAGTAGAGCTCTGCTTCCTTGATCGAAGTCAGATCGCAAGAGGCTTTCTCAACTAGCCAGTCTTCTTACCAATGGACTTACGGATCTATTCAATAAACAAAAATCACTGAAACGTATCATGCTATCCGTTATCTGATTTTGTATCTGCTAATTTTCACTGTATGCGATCATCTGTGAACTGCAAAAAATCGAGTTTTACGGGAAGCCGATTTACCGTTGCGAATGGTGCCAAATCAAATCTCAGAAACCTCGGAAGCATCAAATTCATGCATGGCCTGTAATTTGACAAGACAAACTATCCATTTCCCGGAATGCGGCCGAATACAATGGGGTCCGATGCGTGCAGCTGGGTAAACATTGCCACGACATCTAAATTTCGCTACGTCACGACTGATTACCGTCAGTTTCAGGCAAAGAGGTACGGCCTCGCCCCGTGGTGGTCTTGCGGTAACCTGTTTGCCTACTAAACTTAACGACGCATGAAATAATTTAAATTCGAAGCCGGACGTAAACACACTTTGTTTTATGCTGAAAGCCAACCGTACGAGGGAATACTGAACGGCAGTACTAGACATAAAACTCGTAAAAATATCTTTTCAACATACAAAGGGTACATATCCGTTGACAGTACAAGATAATATATTAACAATATATATCTCGTGTAATTAGGATCTGGTTTATGAAGAAGATACTAGAAGAGATATGTATGCATTTCTATATGCGAATCGATAGCTTTATCTATGCGCCCGGTAACTATAGATGGGTATAGCATTATTGCAGAAAAAAAAAAACAGATACGAGCAGGTTTAATTCAATATGCTCAACACCGCATGACCGACTATGATTTATTTGTATGTGTTTTGTACGTACAAAATTTTCAATCTAATTGATTAGACTAATACAAGGCATTAAGATTCTCACAGATTTCTAGAACAGAAGTGCATCAAGGCGTATCGGGATGATAGAAGCTAAATTTCCCCATATTCCAAGATCTTGCAAGCATGATTAAGGATAATTTTATATTCATCCGCTCGGCAAATGCTGTTTTCCCACCTTTTTGACGGACACTCTTGAAAGATACTTTTTCTAGCAGTACCGATTTCATTTTAGTTTTTGCATAATTTGACAACTGCAACAGGATAATTTTGACCGTATTTGTTCATGTTGGGTAGCGTAATACATCCTGAACGTCTAATATACGCTGCCCACTGTCTATTCCTATGCTACGAACCTGTCGTTTGCTTAAATACGGATGCGATTTTCAGCTTTGTGTGGAAGTTTTTTTTTTACCTTAGCTAGCCTTACATAGCGCCTACCTAATAAGATAAATAACTTTTTGCAGTGTAACAATTTAAATACCTGAAACAAATTACTGTATTATATAGAGCCCATCAGTGACCAAACAGAAATTTCCATTGGGTTCAAATCGAATCGCGGGTGCGAAGGCACCTGCTGCTCATGTCCTTATTTGCCAACATCCATGAACCACTGAGCACTGATCTGGCCTGAGCGACAACAGCCAGATATTTGTAAATTCGACTTCACTCTTTCATGTTTTCACCTTCTTTCTGCTGTTTTCCATATCACGTATTGTGACTAAAGAGACAAACTGTTAGTTGGCAGTTAAATGGATACAACGGTGAAGACGCATAACTGGCTCGGGTGTGTTTTGTAAAGTTTTTTGTCGTTTAATACGGTATAATGTGGGATTTTCTAAATGAAAGTATGCAGCAGATTTTTCGTTAGGTACATTGGCTGTATCGCAAGTATTATTTTCCTGTACGCTTATTGTATATACTACTGTAAAACTATAGCTGGGATCTCTAATGTACATTGCGAGATTTCAATATGACCTTACGCAACGTGCTGAAACTGGGTCCCGTGAATTCTTCTTAACGTCAAAAAGGTAGCCATGTATCAGCATGACAAAAGCAACGCCTACAATGGAAAGGTTGACATTTCAAAGGAGTTAGACTCGCTTGCAATTGATAAACTAATAATGCGTCTAATATTTTCGGGACGACTCATTCTTTCAACCCAAATTTCAATCTAAGGTATGTTGAAATATTAATAGGTCATGTCTGTGTCGGGCTTTAGAGAAGACATGTCGACTATACGTTTATATCTCAGATAAAGCAGAAAGAAATCCGCTAAACGTATCGGTTTTGTGAGAAAGGACAACTGCATCCTTTGCAAATCGATAATCAAGGCACGTGCGTCTCTTAGGGAGTAGAATTGGCCTACAACAGCAGTTAGTATTTGTTTAAAGCCTAAATGAATCCTATTTTCGGTAGTGTCAATTGAATCATTGCTTATATTACATACACATATATAGCTACTTTTTTTTCAGTAAAATGGTTGTTATATATATATATATATATATATATATATATATATATAATCCCTATTAAAAACTTAGAAACCGTATACTAAGCAGTACTGCTGCTCTTGAAATCCACCATCTTGTTTAAGATCTACATCAGTGCCACATGAAAAGTGGCGCTGATGTAGATCTTAAACAAAAAGTATCGGGAATTCGTCCAACGTAGAAATATTAGATAATAGATGATTTCAAAAACGATCCACTGCTCACCGCCGTGATGAGCGTGTTGTTTTTCGCTTTCGTAAAGTACCAGGAGTAGCGTGTAAACGCATTCCCACTTGCGAGATGAGAAATAGCCGGCCGAAGTTCTTCCCCATTTGAACGCATAGCTTTGTCTGTATATATATATGTATACATATCGATTCATGCATACAACTTCACGTCTATAACGTTACAGCATGTGATAGATGCAATAGATGAACACAGAATCATTCTATTGAATGCTACCTAGAACGTGCAAAATTCGAATGTCCCTCCTTTAACGAATCTAAATTTTTATCTAATTTAAAATTAAAATTTAAATCGTTAGAAAATCGCTAAATCGTTCATAAGTTAAATCGTTGCTTTTACTAATATTTGTGTCGTATTGAGAAAAGCAGAAAAACTTATAATAACAGTAACTCGTATTAGCGTGTT